GAACTAATTGTCTCCTGCAAACTCCACTTCCCTTTTGCTCCTCTTTTATTTCCTCTGGGGGGGGTCATTCATCGTCCACTTGTGGCCTTACTCCCAAGTCGACCCCTGTTCTTTAGCTATTCCCTTTGTCTGGCAATGCATGTACGCACTGGGAACAGGCTCCAGCTGTTTGTCTGCCTCACTGATGTCTGCCTCTGAAGGCAGCTGATAACTGGCATCTGGCTCTGGGCCCCTCTCTGCCTCTGACACAGACCCCTCATCAGAGCCTTCCCCAGACTCCAGGACTGGCCATGTTCCTCCCCAACCTCCTCACTGTCTGAATCTGCTGACAGCTGTGGTGGGCCACAACACCCAGTGCCTTAACCATAAAACCAAACAGGCTGGATTGCATGCTGAATTGGATTTTGGATTGGATTCACCTAGAGAATGCTGAGGTTCTTTCCAATTTACTGATTTTGTTGCCTGAAATTGTCCACTGCAGTCTTCTAAAGATGGGACTTGGGTTCATACAAGATTCTATGAAAACCATAGAACAACTCTGCATAAATATATACTGCCATTGGCTGTATATATTTATGCACAGTTCAGCGTTGGCTGAATTCTGAATAAACTACTTCAACAAAAACTTTTTTAATGCCAGATATAATCTTACCAAAATTAAACAACTTGCTTTTAACATTAAAGCTTGGGCAGTTTATTCTATAAGCTGTTTTGCGCAATGTGTGATACTGAATTTAAAAAAAGTTAAAGTGATCCTTGTGGATTTTACTCCGTTAGTCATTGCCAGCTATAATGGGCAATGGTTTTCTCAATGTCAAAGCCATCTGAAGACATTTCCACTGTCATGTAGCCATCATGCAATCATAGAGTGCTGTTACCTTCCCAACAAAGTGGTACCTATTTATCCACTCACATATGGATGCTTTCGAATTGCTAGGCTGGCAAGAATTGAGGCGAGGATGGGAGCTCACCCTGTTGCATAGTACTCGGGTCTCAAACCTGGTTTGCCAATTTTCCAGTTGACAAGCTCAGCATCTTAACTGTTGGCTCCACCCCTGTGATACTGAATAATAAATCCAAAACAAACAAATTTCACTTTATATTAAATATGAATAAGGCTCGTACATTCAAAACCTGTATAAACAACCAAGCCTCTTAAATCAATGTCAAAAAGTGAATTAATTGTGTATCTCTTTTGTCAGCTCTAAGCATAAGATTTATTATAAAGATATTTACTCAAGACCACACAGCTATGAGTATATGATACAAAGCTGTCAGAATAATTAGGATTTGAGGTTTAACATGGAATACAGAATTTTTCCAATTGTTAAATGTTATGGATGGTGAGACTGATACGGATTTTTTCCCCGCAACCTTCAATTTCATAACAGCCATTTCAGAGCTCCATGAAATACAATCTCCTTCAAATACAGTTCATAAGAAAACCATATGGAAATGTTACTAAAAAAGAATCCAAGAATCAACTGAAATTAACAAAGGTTTTTATAAGTAAGGTAAAGGTAAAGATTCCTCTCGCACGTATGTGCTACTCATTCCCAACTCTAGGGGACGGTGCACATCTCCTTTTCAAAGCCGAAGAGCAAGCACTGTCTGAAGACGTCTCCNAAAAGCACTTCACATAATACTAGAGAAAATAGGATGGATGGAAATCTAGAGTGGATTGGAGAAATTAAGAATTGGTAGAATCTTTTGCAGTCTTTTTTGTGTATACATTTCCAGCCTATATAATGCCTGCTGCGTGGATTTTGTCTGCTTGTTTCCTGATATTGCCTGATGGCTAGGGAAATCTGGGAATTGAAGTCCATACAGTTGAGAACTGTAAGTTCTGAAGGTTGAGAACACTCATCAAAGGGAAGAACAACTGCATTTACAGAAAAATATTCAAATCATCATTGAACTTGATACGACTTGTTTTTGAACAGATACGTACAAGATTCTCATGCTAACTTGGAATCGTATATTTGGAACACATTGTATTAGGGAACAATTTATTATAATATACACAAAGCAGAGTTGTTTATTTGTAAAAAGATCAGTGTCAAGCTAGTAAGATCTTACTCCCTTAAATGGGTTACAAACCACAAATAGGAAATGAAGTTCTGTGTGTTGTATTTTTATCTGATCCTCTATGCAAATATAAGAAGATTCAGTAATTGATTAACATGCTTTACATGTAGAAATCACAATGTTTTGTCTAGTATCAACAGCAGACCATGTCAGTCTGGAGTGGTGTTTCTCAACTTTGGATACTTTAAGAAGTGTGGACTTCAACTTTCAGAATTCCTCAGCTAGTATGGCTGTCTGGGGAATTCTGGGAGCTGAAGGCCACACATCTTCAAGCAGCCAAGGTTGAGAAACATTGGTCAGGATATATATATATCATAAAATAGCTTCGTCATATTGAGCTGCTATGAATCATTAACACAACAGTTCTATATGGTAATGAAATTATTCTAAACATATGGAAATTATGGTTGGTAATATATTAGGGAAAAGAACATGATTGTGAGCTGCTCTTCATAACAGCTGTGCTGTATATTAGCTCTAGTATTGGAGACAATTCCCCATTTTTGGGGAAAACAGGCCAGAGGATTATATCTTCATAGTAAAAGCCCAGGGTGGAAACACAAAGATTAGATAATTTACTCATGTTACCAGCAGAGCTGAGATTCTTAAAGCTATAATCCTCTCACTTCTGTTCATTCATTCTACTTAAATTTGACTGCTTTTATGTGCTTAATAACTAAAGAGGTTTTTGAAAAATTGAGCCATTTTAATAAACTTCACATAAATCAATGTTATTCTTCAAGTGAACCAGATTTTTTTAGGATTCCTTTG